ATGGACCCTTGATCATTGATCGGGTCTACACTCGGTACGTCTCCTTTCTGCGACGATCATGGGGGTTTTTTTTTTCCCTTCCTCTGGCCTTGCGCTCTCTTAGCCCGTATTGTCCCAAGGCGCTCCCAGTTTCTGACAATACCACAAACAGCGTCTACTCCGAATACTCGTCACCACTTCCCGCCGTCGAAGACTTTTCCCAATTGGTGTCAGCCCTCTGGAAGCCCTACAGACACCCACTCGACAGCCTCAACTACACGACCGACTCGGGCAAATACTATGAGATCGCCAACGGTTCCCAGCTCTGGCAGAAGCCGCTCGGCAAGGACGTCCTGATTCTCGATGTCGATACGCGTGTCGACAACAAGGCAAGGGCTTTGGGCCCCGCCATCTTCAACAAGGAAAACATGACCCCGCGCGCCGCCGGCATGCTGAACCACTACATCTATGGTAAGGCCGATACTGATACGACGCTGTACCGATCGCCCAGAACCTCTCGGCGATCGGCAGCATCCGACATCTGACAATCCGCCTCAACACCCTCTCAGATCCTCCGCCTGGCGCTCCAGCTAACCTGTGTCTTTTTACCTAGCCCAAATCCACGGCTACGACTACAAATTCATCAAGGCGCCCATCTACCCCGACCGTCACCAGACCTGGGTCAAGGTTCCGATGATCCGCGAGGAGCTCAAGACGCACAAATTTGTCGTCTTCCTCGATGCCGACGCCATCTTCGTCCAGCCGCAGCTACCTATCGAGTTTCTCCTCGGCCTCTGGAATATCACCGACGGCACCCTCGTCGCCATGGCCGAGGATCCTAACTCGCCTGTAAACCGCGACGAGAAGGGCTGGGTGCTCTGGAACACGGGCTTCGTCGTCGCCCAGCAGAGCCAGCGCACACAGGAAATGTTCAAGGTCTGGGATGAGTGCCCCATGGGCGAGCGCTTCCCCGGCTGCGAGAAGTGGGCCAAGGAGTGGGCGCACGAGCAGGCCGCCTTTGGCAACTATATACGCTACGCCTACAACACGACTGACGACCTGCGCGTCATCCCCTGCGGCGACGGCAACGGCGCAGCCTACCTCGGCGACAAGAAGTGCCTCGGTGCTTTCGTCAGCCACTTTTGGGGCCACAAGGGCGTCACTATCGAGTACCTCCACAGGATGGTCGCCCAGGGTCTCATGCGCAACACCGAGGACAACCACCATGACGCCGTCTTCAATGCCTTTATTCACCCGCTGCAGGGCAAGATGGACAAGCAGTTGAAGGATATACTGGCCGACTTGAGCGACAGTGAGACATGATACGAAAAGGAAACACAACAACGTTGATTCTATTGTTTTTTCGACTATTTCAGGAGCAAGAAAAGGCGTTTTTTCTTTCGGGGGTCGGAAGGGTAGAAGGGCGAAGGAGCAAGCTTCGGCGTGCTCGCCTGTGGCGAGTCGGTTCTTCCGTTCGAAAGAGGAGAGAAAACGGCGTTTTGACTCGCGCACGAATTGGGTCTTTTTTTCTTTTGGAAAGCATACATTGGGGACATGGCGAGATACCTGTATTAGAATGTCCGGTCACTTTTGGGTTCCGGCTTGGAGTTGCGCGGCATCGTTTTCCTCATATCCCCAGGGATACTACTACTACTACTGTTGTACACATATACAGTCAGGAGACCGAATCTGACGCCTATTTTCTGCTTGCTGGTCTTTTCGATCCTTTTCTTGTCGCACGTTTGTTGGTGGAATGTCCTAGACCCACGGCATTGCCTAGAAGCGCCCGCCGAGGACCCTTTGATGGTGTCAGGCCGGAAATCCCCACCCAGCAGCTCAAGACGCCAGCCAACCCGAACATGGCGGGCCATGCACAAAAACGTTGCAGAGCGAGCGCCTCAGCTGACGTACATCGCGACGGAGGGGAGCACAGACTCGGACTTGATTGGCGACCTCGAAATCTGCATACTCATTCTCGTCAGACGCGCAATCCGGGCTCCGCCCCGATGATCCATTGG